CATTTCTTTAGAAATGTGATTTCAAAAAGTATATTAGTGCATCACGCACTGAGTAGGCCTATTCAATACATATTCACGACAGGTTGGGAAAAATACATATAGGCCCCATAATTGATTCTCCTGACGCAAATTTTTCGTAAAACAAGCTTAATTAGAACGTTACTTCAAATTCAATATTAAGTAGGCCTATGAACAATTAAGGAATTCCTTGAATCAATGGACCCTCATAAACACAACAAACTGAACGTTTAATAGAAATTTTCTAGACCTATTTTAAAGACTCAAGGAACAAATTTAGATGTAGGCCTACGACCAGGCAGGCCGCCCGGGCCTCCTACTATTACTAGGCATAGGCCGTAGCCTGGCCTAGTTATGAAATCATCGCACGATTTTACCTGTCTGCATGCACCGACCAAAAGGACGTCAGTGACTGTATCCCCTCTCGAATGCTGAAATGTTTATTTCTTTTACGAAAGTCTATCAATATAGCATTACAAACAAGTTCTTTCTAACACAATAGTTATTCATCGTATCCGTACTGTACTGCTGGTGTTAGATGAGTTAAACGCGTACTGTAGGAGCCAAAATCAGCATACGCACAGCTAAATGTAAATACGCACACGTATACTTATCATATCACTATAGCAACCGATGGCTGCTACAACAGTTGGTCCTGGTTGCTACAAATATAGTCCTGAGAGAAAAATATAATTCCCAAGGGGATACCAAATGTTAATATTACACCGATAGAAAAGGCAATATCTGTTATATTACATAGCCAAACATAGATCGGTTAGCATAAAATTCACCGTTTGCTCTCCTTACCTAAGCGTAGAATGACCGAAAAACGTAACGCGTTGAGCTCCGTTGTGAAATTTTCAATATGCAAAAGTAGGCCTAGGCCTAGACCTAGGCCTAATTTGATGATTCCTTGGCCTTACAATATTCACTGAGTGGGCCTACATTAACGGATGAATTCACAACACATTTTGTACACCGAAAACCCTTTTCGTCAATAATTCTATCCAATTCGTCTTCTTGGAGAGATTTAAACTTATTCGAAGTCGCCATTTTCGAAGCACTAGGCTTTCCACATTCACAATTCATGAGCGATCGATAGTGCGCTCGGCTAGCAATTCACTACGGGCGCAATGCGGGTGTAATCCGGTGACGTCAGAGACCGGGCACTTTTCAAAGTTATATTTCCCTACGGGGAAATATAACGTTTTCACCCTCGTAGCGCTAGTCACGTGATGGCATTTCGACCAATCACGTACTCGTATTTACATAGGCTATGTAATATAAGTCTGATGTGTAGTTAATTAAACGCGTACTGCAAAAGCAAAAATCAGCATACGCACAGCTAAATGTAAATACACACACGTACACGGCGATTGACTTATAAAGCAATTAGTAGAGCATGCATCGTACACTAAATTGAAAATTATTATACTAGGTTAGATTTAATGCATTCAAAAATTTCCTTCGGGCCTTGCAGGCCCTCAGGAAATGTTTTCAAGCATTAATTCTAACCTTCGTATAATAATTTTCTAAATATGCAGAGCTCTACTAATTGCTTTTTAGTTTTAGTGCAAGGGCTAGGCAATTGGTTATTATTTCTAACGGCCCTACCATGGATCTCAAGTTTAGTTTTTGGGCTCCAATCTTTGAAATTTACCATGAGTGATCTATTAATCTAGACACATTTTTTTTTTCTATGGACTTTAATAGAGTTCAAACCACGTATGATGAGTGCATTATCGAGTCGAGTGGCCTAGCCGTAAGGCAGGGGCGCCTCTAACTACAGCCTTAACATCGGCGCTGGTTCGAGCCGCTCCTCGCCCAGGGTTCGGTTGGTAGAACCAAGTCTCTCGGATGACTTAAAATGGAGGTCCAGTGTACATACCTGGCCTGTGTGCACTTTAAAATGTGTATAAGAGACAGGTTATTCATCGTATCCGTACTGTACTGCTGGTGTTAGATGAGTTAAACGCGTACGGTACTGTAGGAGCAAAAATCAGCATACGCACAGCTAAATGTAATTCTAACCTTCGTATAATAATTTTCTAAATATGCAGAGCTCTACTAATTGCTTTTTAGTTTTAGTGCAAGGGCTAGGCAATTGGTTATTATTTCTAACGGCCCTACCATGGGTCTCAAGTTTAGTTTTTGGGCTCCAATCTTTGAAATTTACCATGAGTGATCTATTAATCTAGACACATTTTTTTTTTCTATGGACTTTAATAGAGTTTAAACCACGTATGATGAGCGCATTATCGAGTCGAGTGGCCTAGCCGTAAGGCAGGGGCGCCTCTAACTACAGCCTTAACATCGGCGCTGGTTCGAGCCGCTCCACGCCCAGGGTTCGGTTGGTAGAACCAAGTCTCTCGGATGACTTAAAATGGAGGTCCAGTGTACATACCTGGCCTGTGTGCACTTTAAAGAACTTATTGCACGAAAAAGTAGGGGTTACCACGATGTTATGGTTCATTTCAGCTCTGTAGTTGTGGAATGATATACATGGTTTCTTTATCAGTGAGTTTTCATGTTTGAGCAGATTCTGTGAATGGGTCTAATAAACCCAATGTGAATTAGTGACAAGGTCTTTCAACAGTAAGTTATAACGTCTTAGCACATGTACGTGTACCATAGCGTTAACAATGATATTAGATATATCCTATGTATTGTATTGTATGACTATTGTATTACAGTTTGAAAACATCCCATAACCATAAGTATATCAAAATGCGTTTTATTGAAAAAAAAAAAATGAGATCCAATTTTATCCTTCTCAAGCATCCGGGAACTATGTAATTATTCATGATCCCGAATACTACCTCCTTTAACGTACACATTCATTCAACGAAACCAATGTATAACCAGATTTTTCAACTAAATAATCCAGCAAGAAAACAAAATTCATGTAGGTATCGGGAAGGTCTGTGTCAAGGCTTAGGATTCCACCATCTGCTGTCTGCAACCTGTTAGAGATTGCTCTAAGTGCTTTTGGGACACGTTCAACATCTCGAAATTTGTAGTAATTCTGTACAGTTAGTAGAGGTTCTGTAAAGAAAATTTGATATGTAAAATGCCTTTTAAAACCAGGTGTTAAGAGGGCCAGTGAGTCAATCAACAGAAAATGGTAGTTGATTTGTCTAAAAAATTATTAAAAACAGCAGATAACAGGTTTAACCCTTTATCAATTCTAAGGATTAGACCTTCAGGTAATTTATACGAAAGGCATCATTGCTATTTTATAGGTCGCATTTAAGCAATTCCTTAATTTTTAAGCGAATAATAATTGACATGGAAGCACCAAAACATCTACTCACCTGATTTAGGCGGGAAGTTCACAGCTGCTTTGATGATTCTGAAACCCCTATGTTTAAGTTGCTGCTGAAGGTTTTCGCCATATCCATTAGGGGAGTAGAATATTGGGTTTATGTCAAGTTCACGAAGACGCATTTCTGAACTAACTACAGCTTCTCGAATCCAATTGGCAGCCATCATTTCAAAATGACCGGTTGGGTATGGATGATTTCCACGTAGTCCAATGTTATAGAC